TTGCTTTCTGGTGTCTATTTGCCAAATATAATTTGTTGCCATGTCAGTCTATTTTAATCAATGCCCATTATAAAGGTCTTTCAACAGCCAGTCCTATACCTTTCAAGTAGGAAACAGAAAAACATATTTTATGGAAGCCTGATGAGCTAAAGAGGAAAGATCTGATGATGAGATATCAGGGGTTCATCAATAACATGGCCCAGTCAGATCACCCTAAGGAAGTTCACAATCAATACGTCGCACCCACAGTTTAGCATTTCCTTATTCTTAAATAATCCTATATTAATATTCTCAGATGATACTGTACCCATGAAACAAGAATAGAACCTTTTTTTTTTAAGGAAAAGAAATTCATAGGAAAAAAGTTATTGAAATTAAAAAATTTGAAGCCAGTATTAAAAACTCAGTAGATAACTGAAAGATAAAGATGAGAAAAACTCCCAGAAAATAAAGAAAGTAGAAAGATGGAAAACAGGGAAGAAAGGAAAATTAAAGGACAAGAGGTTCAACTTTCAGATAAATAAAATGATTTCTAAAATGAGAGAAAACAGAAAAAAGGGGGTGAGAAAAAAAATAAATCATTTTTAAAACTCTTAGCACCGAAAGACAGGAGTTTCTAAACTGAAAGGGCCCAATTATTGACCAGCACAACGTATGAAGATACATCTAACTCAAGAGATATCACTGTAAAATTTCTTCCAGAAAGAAAAACAGGTCATATGCAAAAGGGATCAGGAATCTGCACAGCTCTGAACTTCTCAACAGCAATCCTCAGAGCTAGAAGACAATGAGGAGGGCTTTCAAAAGTCCAAAGGAAAAAGTGTCTATAATCTAACATTCTATACCCTGCCAAACTATCTACCAGGTGTTTCTGTTAAACGAGGATATTTTCAGACATGCAAGGTGTGAAAAACATTTGCCTCCTATGTACACTTTAAACCAGGAACAAGAAAGGCAGGAGATACATGACACAGGACATCCACAACTCAAAAGAGAAGCAAATGGAATGCACAGAATGGTAGTGAAGAAGATCATAGGAAGACAGCAGCGTCCAGAAATGGAGGGAACTGGTTCAGACAGGAGCAAGTCGGAGGCTCCAGGAAAGAGCTGAAGAAAAGGAATCAGTAGAACATTCCATATGTCTCAATGTATTAAAAGGAGATTGAGACAGCTGGCAGGGTCAGCAGAAGAAATAATGATAAATATACAGAAAATTAAGCTAATAACTGAGGCAGGAGAATGGCGTGAACCTGGGAGGCAGAGCTTGCAGTGAGCCAAGATTGCACCACTGCACTCTAGCCTGGGTGACAGAGTAAGACTCCATCTCAAAAAAAAAAAAAAAAAAAAGAAAAGAAAAGAAAAGAAAATTAAGCTAATGGGGTAGGGTGGGGAAAGATAATAATTCTAGGGAAAATTAAAAGTCATGCAGGATATTATACATGAGTTAACTGTGATTAGCATTTAGGTAGTCATAATAATGTAGACAGTAAATGCTGATCTAACCAAAATGTCAGCATATTTCTATTAAGAGGATGGCGGGGGAAGGGGACATTTTCCATAACAGAGGGTCTACAAAAAAGGTCTAAACCTGCAAAGTCAAAAAGCAGCAATATACTCATGGTATTTAGAAGTATGGATTAACATCCAAAAGGATGAGCTAAGTGTCAAAAAGAATGCTCTGGGGAGTGAGTTAAGAAGGTGGGGCAGTAGGGGTTTGATTTTTTTCATAACAAGTCTTGTAGGATTATTTCAACCTTTAAGCTACTTGCATGTACTACTTTAATAAAGCTAAAATGTTTTACTAGAAAATAAAAATAAAAGCATTTGTTCCTCCCTTCAAGAAAAAACCAGATATGATTTTGCATGTGATTTTAGGGACTTCATGGACTAGAACTTAGGGATCCCTGAACTAGGTAGGGTCCCTAGGAGCATGAAGATTCTATGGTTCCAGCACCATTTCAGCCCCCAAGCACCCCTCCTCTCTACAGCATCTTAGGAGAGAATGTAAGTTTTAGGAATGGAGCTTTCCAAACAGAATTAATCCAGTCTCAAGGGAATATCTCTTATTGTGCCCAGAGTTGTCCTATGATAAAGCGGGAACCCCGTCTTTGTAGGCTAACACACATTCCAGGTATGTAAGTAGATATCCACAATCCAAATTTGTGACTTGGTTTTGTGCTCTGTGCTGCACATGGAATGGAAAGCGTAAACAAAGGGAAAGTCATTCAAATTAAGGATTGTTTTTCACACAGAGGCAGATGCTATCTGAACCCCCAAATACAGCATATACGATCTGTGAGTTCCACAGCTTCAATTATTGTTGAAATTGAATGGACTGAGGTAGTATTTGTATCGTAGCTCTCCCCATTGCCCACTGCATTATAATCTTCCTTATTAATCTAAATTGCTGCTAGCTGACCCAGGTAAGAAACTGAAAGGGTTCCAGAAAAGAACTATCATGTGGTACTGAAGTGAGTCTTCTTCATGCTTGTGTGATGCTTGTATTCCTCAAGAGCAATCTATAAAATGAACCAGAGGCTACAGTTTTTAATAAAAAGTAATTTTGAAGCTGTCTCAAAAGTCATGTGAAAGGATTTTAAGCCCAAATGACAGTGTCTATAAACCTTTTACCTTCTGAATCAGTGTAATTCATTTTGCTGGAAAGCATCACAGGAGGGAGGTCTTTGGTTTCATTTTTCTTAAATTTACTTACAAACCTATTTCTACATGAACAGTACTTTAAAGGCCCTCCTGAAGTCTCTGGCTTAGGGGAAAAAGGATCAGTAACAGCAGACTTCCAAATTCAATGAGCATGAATACATGCCATACAACCAAGCTTTGCTTTTTGTCAGGTTTGTGTGCTTGCCTGTGGGTAACAGTCTGGATTACTGGGGGGATTTCAGTGAGATGTGTTCCAGTAGTGAGTGTCATTTGGTTGCCCTATATTCTGCCTGGACCTGGCTTCCTGGCCCAAGATTAGCTTTGAGAGTGCAGCTGTGTGACCAAGGCCAGTCAGTGGCTGAGCAGACACATGGTAAACATCTGTGGGTGACCCAGTCTTTCTGGAGTACTATCAAACTCATTCCCAACAGACAACATATGCTGCCAACTGCCCTAGCACCTTTCAGCCAGGCAGGAGGTTGGAAAAGTTGCAAAGAACTGTTAGCTTGAGATCTGAACATGTCAGTATTCCTGTGACAAAATTCTTACTCTAAAGTGCTGCTCTGCTAAATTCTATCTTTCTGGTCCGTTTATAAACTGTTCATGAGGAAGAATGCTCCTAAACTGATTCACAGATGGTTATATAATACTCAGAATCATGACACTGGAGTCTCATTTATTTTGAGACAACTTCTCTTTCTGTTGCTCAGGCTGGAGTGCAGGGGTGCCATCACAGCTCACTTCAGCCTCAACCTCCCAGGTTCAAGTGATCCTCCCACCTCAGGCAGCTGGGACAAGAGATGCACATTACCATGCCATGCTAGTTTTTGTGTGTTTTTGTAGAGACAGGGTTTCACTATGTTGCCCAGGCTGGTCTTGAACTCCTGGGCTCATGCGATCCTCCCGTCCCGGCCTCCCAAAATGCTAGGATTATGAGGAGTCATTTTTTAATCTTTCACATAAACATACTTCACTCAAAGTATCCTGACTAGAAACAAGCATTTGAGGACTCAAAGCCCCTCTATTAGAAAGTCTTCTACGTTTTTGCCAAGAGGTTGACTTTTGGGTGAATGTCCCATGCTAGGCATGATGAGTCCATTCCTCTCCTTCTGGCATAATCTAAAATACCTCAGTCAGGACATGTGGTATTTAAAGTGAAAATTCTGATGAAAAAGAATCTGACACTTTTAACTACCCGAGGATCACTGTGTCATGCTTTTATTCTCAACAACTTGAGGTTTTGTCTAGCAATCAAGAGGGTAAAGATATGACTCTTCAAAATATCTTTCGGTAGGTACTTCCTTCCCCTTTAAATCAGCCATCCTTTCAGCTTGGCCCAAGGGGAAGCCAAAGATCATGGCATTCATTGGTTTAATGGACAATTAATGAAATTCGAAACAGAGAAGCTGGGCCTGCCACTTGCCTCTGATGGATCAATCTAGCACAGTTTACCTAGGTTCACAGTGTAAAACCACAAGGATCCAAGAACAAACAAGAACAAGACCAACTAGTTCTCTAAAGTGCCTCAAAATGCATGTCACTCCTTCCCATAGTTGTAAAGAAACTAAGAAAGAAGCAATAGCAGGGCAATCCTTTTGTTCTTTCTCCATGGCACTGAAGACTCCCTTTGCTGGCCTGCTTTCTGTATTGGAGTCAGAACAGGTTCTCTCATCAGGCCACTCTGTTTCAACCTTGGGACTGGTAGGGAGGGGCACATCTGAATTTTGAAGATTGAGGGATAATAGCTTGAAGATGAAGTGCTCTGTTTCATCACTTTTATTTTATTTTTTCAGTTCATGGAAATCTATTTAGAAAATTTAACTTTAAGAAAAACATGACAATTTAATGTTTTATCAAAGAAGACACAGCATGGGTTAAAAAAAGGTTGAGAAAATCTGGTTTAAGTCATTGATTAAGGACTCTGATGGACAGTGCTCAATACCTTGGCAGGTGTGGTAATAAAATCTTGGCTTTCTTTTTCACCTCCTCTAATTTATATGCCTATCCTTAAATCTTTGGTTTTGACAGAATGGTTTGTATTTCTGTACATTGTCTGCATTAACTTTAAACTCTAACAACAAAGCAGCTTTATTAGCAGCTAAATTTCACCAACATCACAATTGCAATTAGCACAAACAGTTTAAACATTCCTTTTCTTTCCACTGTTTATGGCAAATTACACTTTTGTAAAACCCAATTTAGGCCAAATATGTAAATGTAAAAATAGTAGGAATGAACTTTCTCTTTCATTCGTGATTTCGTCCAACAAAACACTGAGTGTCTACTGTGTGGCAAGAACACAAGCTGTTCACCAACTCATAGTCAACAGTCACACTAACCTGTGTGAGAATAGATGTACCACAAGGCCCCTGTCAGGAGTGCTCCGATCACAAAGGCTGCAAACGCAATGCCCATCACGGTTAGGGTGTCCAGACCATGGAAAATTGCTATAAAGGAGAGAAACCGATACACACAACTTTTCAGTTAGTCTGCATCATACATTGCAGTTTTATATTTGTTTCACAAGCACTGTCATAAAGGTTGAGCACTAATAAAATCTGAGAATGCAATGAAGATTCCAATAAAATACACTGTATTTTGTAACTTGCAATTTTTTTTTCAAAGGAGAAATGAAACGATCAGGTTTTCAAGGTATTCTCAGTTTGCAATTTATTTTGATCAACAAACTAACTAAAAAATCAGATTTGCAAACTCTGTAAAATCTTAAGTCTGTCATCTCATTGTCTCACTCTGAGGACCTACTATTTGAATGGAGGGTGGCTTGAAAATTCAGTTAAGATGCTTTGGAAAATAAAGTGAACTTCCATGATCAAAATTTGCCTTATTGCTGCTTATTCACTGAACACCTCCAAAAATGACACACTGCACAGAAAACACACACCTTAGAATACTTTATACACACATTTTTGCGAACATTTACAAGTATGGAAGATAACAGAAAGAAAGGAGAATATAGAGTAAAAATAAACTATTCCTGTGGATTATAACATTTCACCAATCTCATATTAAACTCTTAATCTTAACAGCTTCATATTGTGTCATTTAAAACAACCTACTTTTTAACACTTTTCCAACCGTGATCTTTCTATGAGGGGAACGGAAATACCTCCCAGTGGGGAGTGATGTCAGTTTTATGATCAGCAAAACATATAAATAGAACCAATTGTTTCTCCATTTGGCAAAGGTTTTTATATTTGAAATTAATTCCAGGCCCCAGAAATAGAACATTTCCTTTCATTTAAGAGAACTACCTTCTTTGAGTCACTTATAAAAAGTTAAAATTGGTTTCCAAGGGAGAGGAGTTTTTGGTAGAATACAATTTCTAAGGTCTCTGGGTTTTGAATGTAAGTGGGAAATACAGGATCTCCCCACCATTATCATACTATTTCTACTTTCTGCTCCAGTCAGAAGCAACTCCGGTGATCTCTATATAAATTAAATCCCTTTGCCTTTCAACTCACTGCAGTGTGAAGAAAGCTATTTTTTTACATGGAACATTGCCATACACTCCTGTGACCTTTGAGCAGCCCAGCACTCCAAAGGCTCGGGGAAAGTATGCCATGGTGGAACGAGTCTGGAAGGATCCAAACTCCCAAGTTCTGGTCCCCACTCTTTTAGACCTGTGCTCTTTGGTGTGTTCATTTAACTTCTGAAAAATGCAGATAGCTTCAGTCACCTGCTGAAGTCAGAGGGTCAACACCTGAGTTTGTAAAACGGATGAAGATCTACTAGATGGAGGAAGAGGTGGGAAGAACTCCCTGGAGGTGAGGTTGAACCAAGCCTTCAGCCTATTTAATCTAGTCCTTACAACTGATATTAGAAGATGATTTGCCTTTTCATACCCACAGATGCAAAAATTGAGCATGATTACAAGTTTTCAGTGAAACTATTCTAAATTTCCAAAGATGGATATGTGTCCATATGTGCCTCTCTTCGAGTTCATATTGTTCCATAATTAAAAAGTAATAATAATAATCCACTTAAGATAACGGTTTATGAAGCGCTTTGTGAAAGGAACTTTCCAGACTGATTGTTACATGTAGTGAAGAGTCAGCCATGGAGACTAATCCTGGGAGTCTTAGGAAAGGAAAAAAAGCACAGATTCACAAATTCTCCTCAGGAGACAACATTATCTAGAAGAGCTGTGGGTGGACAGCTGGGAAGTCCAGGTTCAAGTCCTGCCTCAATGCCAATGAGGCAGGAATATTTCTGGGTCAGCATTTTCTTCTGCATAAAACAATGAAACTGGCCTAGACAATTTCCAAGTCCTCATTCTGTAGCAATTGGTGTTGCTTTCTCTTTCATTCGTACATGCTCTTCCTGGTGCCCCCAGCCCTTGCACTACGGATTGTCTTGAAAGTATAGCAATGAGTTCCCTTAGCATTACTTCTCCGAGCAGATAAACATTGTTGATAAGACTTAAAGCAAACCACTTCCATGGCTGTATGTGAATACTTTCAGGTCAGAACAGACATAAGCATGCAAGTCATTAACTTATCTCTCTAAATAAGTTACTACCTTCCTACTCAAGCCATACATGCCAATGGATCAACAAATTAATATTTTAAAGTGGTAAGGGTGGAAAGGGAAAAAGAAAGCAGGGATAAACAAAGGACAGAGGAAAGGAAAAAATATGAGCAAAAAGGGAAAGGGGCAGGGGGAAGGGAGAATGAGAGCAGAAGTCTCCTTATCAAAACACAAAGTTTGGCAAATGTTCACTAACCAACTCATTCTTAGGAAAGCCCAGGAGGTTTTATTTCGAAATAGCTGCATAAAGACTTACGTGGAGAAATTGGATTTGGTTCCTTCACGCTTGGACGTTTTTCTGAAACAAAAACACAAATCAAATGTATTCTATGGAGAACCAAAATTTAAGCAAAGGGTCATCAAAGTCTCAGCAGAAACTGACACTTTTCCATTTGTTAATAAATACTTTGAGAAAGCTCGGTCAATGATCCTCTTTAGATATCAAAACTATAATGAGTTACCCAGAAATTTTAAGCATTGTACTTTGTCAACATCAATTGTATAGGCTCTCCAATTTGAAGAAAATTTGAAGGCAAACACCTAAACTTAGGGAATTTGGGTCTGACAATTTGTGGGTATGTGTCTGTCTATATCTTTTTATTTACTTACGAAAAAATCCAATACCTTTAAATACCATGCCTTTCCAGTGTAGTCTATAATATTATTCTGCTTTCAAAATACATTTATATACATTTTTTTGAGGGTCTCACTTTGTTGCTCAGGCTGGAGGGCAGTGGCACCCTCAGCTCAGTGCAGTCTCTGCCTCCCAGGCAATCCTTCTACTTTAGCCTCCCAAGTAGCTGGAAGTACAAGCGTGTGCCATCACACCAGCTAATTTTTGTATTTCTTGAAAAGACAGGATTTCACCACGTTGCCCTGGCTGGTCTCTAACTCCTGGGCTCAAGCAATCCACCTGCCTCGACCCCCAAAGGCCGAGGGATTATAGGCGTGAGCCACTGTGCTCAGCTTTCAAAATATTCTTTTAATTTAATATACACATTTTGTAAAAGTACTTTGTTCTTCTATCCTTAATGCTATTATCCTACAGTTTAACTCCCCTTCATTGCTCATAAGGATTATCACAGAGGCCCTCTTGTCTCCACCACTACCCTCTCCCCAATTATTTCCTCCTCCACACTTGCCACCAGAGTGAATATTCCAGAGCCCAGAGCTGATCATGTTATAACCCTGACTAAATCCCTTGATAACTCTCCTTCCTTTATAGGGAAAAAAAATCCAAACTCTTTAACATGGCACACAAAGTTCTCCCTTCCTTCTCTATCCTCTCCCTCCAGCCTCCTTTCCTGATGGAGTCCTTCACCCATGGTGGGCTTCCCATACTTAGTAACTTAAGCTCCCCAAATTCTCTGTGCTGCTCCGTGTCATCATGCTTTGCAAGTTATCCTGAGATACCCTCCTCCCCAGATCTGCTTTGTTGGCATTTTCTCTGGGGGACCTTTGCTGAGTCTCCCACTGCTCCATCTCCATCCCAGCAGAGCTCGTCTCTCTCACCCTTGCTCGTTCCATCCCTCCTCTGTTACACTTGGGCCACAATACCTCCTAGTTTTTTTTTCTCTCTCTTTCCCTTGCTCTCTCTCTTTTTTTTTTTTTTTGCTGTGAGGGCAAGGTCTGGTTCCCAGTCATCTGTACATCCCCAAGGGCTCAGACTGGCATAGAATAGGTCTTCCAGAAATATTTGGTGAAGGATAATTAAAATGTGAATATACTGTTTGCAAATGGAGGTCACAGAGGAAACCAGCAATCAGACTATGAAGATGTTCACATGCGGTTCGCACCAGTGCCATGAGGAAGGCAGAAAAAAATTTTGTATCACTGTTTTGGAAATAAGCAGCCTGAGACTCTGATATCGTGTGACTAGAGCCCAAGGTCACAGCTGGAAAGCATCAGGGCAGAAGTTGAATCAGAATTCCAGAGTTCTGCCTAGCAGGCTAAATGACTGGTGAGCGTAGCTCTGTCCCTAGCTGGGGAAGCACTGATGAAGCAACTATTTGTGCACAGTTACTCATTATCTTCAGCAGTGAGGCTGAGACCAGCAGTTGGGATATTATGGTCCATCACCTATTTTTGTATGGCCTGTGAGCTAAGAACGGATTTTATATTTTGAAATGATTTTTTAAGAATCAAAAAAGGTTATTTCATGACATGTGAAAATTATATGAAATTCAAATTGACTCCATAAATGAAGCTATACCTGGACACAGCTATGCTCATTTACATACTGTCTATGGCTGCTTTCATGCTGTAACAGCGGTGTTGAGTCATTGAGACAGGGATTGCCTGAGCCACAAATAAAAAATAATCACTATCTGGTCCCTTACAGAAAAAGTGTGCTGAGTCCTGCTACAGACCTTGACTTTACTCTTTGGAGTTTAAAAGTGATACATGCTTAGCACCTCTCTTTTCATCTCCATTTTCATTCACTACAGAAGGAACACACACCTTGTGTCTGAATTCACAGTGAAGCAAAAAGAACTTGGGAAAATTTGACCCAAACAAGCAGCATCTGAATTGATGTCTACAAAAATAAAGAAGCTAGACAGGGTAAAAGAAAACAGAACTGTAAATTCTCAGGATTAACCATCTCCGATGGGTGGGTCAACATTCTGGCCACATGAGTTATCAATGTCTGGCTCTAGGGGAAGGAATGCTACCGGATGAATCAGAGCCACCACAATGGAATGGTGCCCCCTGGAGTTGTGCAACATAGTGGCCCTTGAATGAGGATATATGCAAAAGTTATACTTAAATACAATTACTAAGAAAATAAAAATGATTGTATGTTTTTAAGAAAATCTAATTCAGTATGCAGAACACACACTAATTATGCTAACTACAGAAGGCACTACCCCGGGAGCTGGGTCCCATCAGCCTCATTGGCACCAATAAGAACAATGATGCCTTACATTTGTACATCTGTATGGTGTTTTGCAATAGACAAAAAGCCTTCGGCCTTCACTTACATTGTCTCATTTTAAACTCCCAAGAACTCTATGAAGGAAGGGTATCTAGCCACAAACTTCTCCTACTTTCAAGAAGTAGTATTTGATTCCCTGAACTAAGTCCAAAGGCATTTAAAGGTTGCTACAGTATGCATCATGTAAGAAATATACACACTTCTGGGAATAGTTCCATCCAATCAACCACCCATGGTTAAACTTTCTCACTCAGAATCCCCAAGCGGTTGAAAAATTATGACTCTCTCCTAAGGAGACCTCACATGTAAGAGTTTAGGTTTTATAGTAAGGCCTGTGTGATGGATGGCATTGTTTTAAAATTCTTAATGGATTTCTGTTATGATCTAATCCTTTACCCCCACCCCAAATAGGGGCCTTCTCACAGAGCTAAACAGAAACAGTTGTTGTTCATTTCCCCTGGGTGAAGTCCCTTCGTGATTTCTGTGCACAAACAGTAACAAGCACAGGCTGCAGAACTGAGGTTAAAGGACTCTCTCCTTGAACTTTTCTCTTCCTGAATCCCTAAGAACCCCCGAGTATAACTAAAATGGCTTGATCTCCACCGGAACCCTATCATCGAGTTGGCATGCTGAGAGGAAAAGAGTGGACGTAACAATATTTACTTTTGGTTTAAGGATAAGATTGTATGAAAGGAATCTTAGCTATTGCTGTAAAGAGAATTGTAACAATAAAGATTTCTTTACAGAAAGGACAAACTATAATCAACGTTCTGAATTAAATCTTTTCATGTACTCTGAGCAAATTTTGGTCTCTAGAACCAAAATTCTCCTCCTCAGATTGTTCAGCATGGTTTTCATAAATGGGATATTTCTGGGGTTATGCATGAGTAACTGACCACAGTTTTTGGTCTTTAGTGTTCAATTTGGTACTAGGCACCACAGGATGGAGTGGGCCCACAGTGAAGCAAGGCATCCCACTGGTACCCACATTTATTGGCATTTGGCAAAGGGAAGAATAGGGAGAGGAAGATTCCTCCTGGAGACTCAGGAGGTCTTTGTACAGGCCCCATTTAAGATAGAGTTTTTACTAACTTGACGTCACAGTAACTGAACCCTTTCTCTGGATTCTTTCAATATTTATGATATTCATTGCAACTGCCTGTTCACTTATCTGTATCCTGCCACTAGACCAGCGTGTCTCACGTGGTGGGTGATTTTTATTCCAGGGGACATTTGGAAATGTCTAGAGACACTGTGAATGGTTACAACTGGGCTGGTGGTGGGAGGGTGTTGTTACTAGCATGCAGTGGGTAGAGACCAGGGATGCTGCTTAACATCCTGTAACACATAGGCAGCCCTCCAACTACAAAGGGTATTCCAGCCCAAACACTGACTGAACTGAGATTGAGAAACTTTGCACTAGGCTGTAAAGGCCTTAAAGACAAGACAATTTGTCCACTATATACCGGCCATATCTTAGGTACTCAATAAACTTTTAAAAAAAATAAATAACCACAAATATCATGTATATTTTACTCTTGGGTATTTCCCCAGCAATGCAACCTTCACACCATTTTCAGAGTAGCCTTTCTAAATGACCTAAGCATCAGTTTCCTGCTTGAGATCTTCTGACGGTTCTTAACTTAGAGGTACATACTGGAATACGTATGGATGAAATTAAATATCTGGGTTTTCTTCAAAACAATCCAGTGGATGACAGAAAGTGATAAAACAAGATTCACCATAAATTGGCAATTGTTGAGAGTTATTCTATTTTTGTATATATTTGAAATTTTTAAGATAAAAAGTTTTTAAAATGTAAAATACTGGCCGGGAGCGGTGGCTCACGCCTGTAATCCCAGCACTTCGGGAGGCCGACGCGGGTGGATCACCTGAGGTCAGGACTTCGAGACAAGCCTGGCCAACATGGTGAAACCCTGTATCTATTAAAAATACAAAAATTTGCTGGGCATGGTGGCAGGCGCCTATAATTCCAGCTACTTGGGAGGCTGAGGCAGGAGAATCACTTGGACCTGGGAGGTGGAGGTTGCAATGAGCCGAGATTGCACCACTGCACTCTAGCCTGGGTGACAGAGTGAAACTCCGTCTCAAAAATAAATAAATAAATAATGTAAAATACAGGATGTTAAACAAAATCTCTATGATATCCCTCCTTCCCTTCTTGGATAGAGACTGCGTGCCCTGGTCTGTCAATTAAGCATTTCTACCAGCTTTCCACTCAGTTTCCCCTTACCTCGACCTCAGCTTGAGGACAAAACCTGGCTGGTCCTTTAGAGTATCTTTATTCTGGAAAGATCAAATATGTTCCAAAAAGTAATGCCTCTCTTGGATCAACTTCCAAC